CTGTGCTCTAACTGAAGAATACTGAGACGTTTTCTTTTATTTTTAACGAGGAATCCAAGGAAACAAACTGGCTAAAAGCACAAGCACTAGGGAACTGTCTCGAGGACACGCTGAGGAGTGTCCCTGTGCCTCCCACACCCAGAGCTGGTGCTGCTCTATCTGCTCTGACACCTGCCAGGGCGATGAGAGGGAGCGCTGCCTCTCCTGGAGACAGCTCCCCCCCCTCGGCTGCACCGCCTGGGGCTTTGGCCCTGACATTCCTGCTCCTTTTTGCTCCCAGATCCTGAGGGGCACATGCCAGGCTTGGCAGAGGTGGCACCGTGAGGAGCTGGCGTGTCCTGGGCACACCCGGGTGGGTGTGAGTGTGGCAGAGCACGGGCACGAGGTGAAGCCAATTAATTAAAAGAGGTGAGAGGCTCATCAGCCACGGTGACAGCAAAGTGCTCAGTGCAGGGGGAGGAACTCATGGCCCCAGGCAGGAACACAGGGTTCAGGGAGCTGCAAAGAGCAGGATGTGGAGATAAATGTGGCACCGCAGGCTGACTAACGGGAGATGGCATCGATATTTCCATTCAAAGGGAAACCAGTTCCAAAACCAGTTACCAAACTGTGTTACCAGTTACCAAACCTGTGGTGTGTGAGGAGATTTGGCAGCACGAATGGCTGAGGATGAGTACTGCAAAAGATCATGGGAGGCTGACGAGTGTGAGCTGGAAGATGAAAAGGTTTTGGGATCAGGGGTCACAGCCCTGTTTGCTTTGCATTTCATTTCAGGGGGATCTGTCCCCCTGCAGAGGCTCAGCTGTGGCACTGCTGCTCCCATCTTCTGTCTCGTCTCGCCCACCCCTGCAAATCTGCCTGAGGGCCGGGAGGAGGGACTGCAAGGAGAAAAGTGAGCTCCAGAAGGGAAAAAAGGAATTGAGTAGGTGGAAATTCATGTGTGACTGTGAGAGGTGCAACGCAGTGAGGAAAAGTACTGCTCCACTCTCAAATATAAAAATATCTAAAATCATGTTCTATGGGAAGCTCACGAGGGGAGGGAGCACTGTCACGCTGAAGGTGTCACTAAGGCTGTTTGCTGCAGTCACATGCTGAAGGATCAGACATGAACACACCCACGGCACATTCCCAGGGTAACATGGGACACGGGGAAGCCCTCGGTGTCTATCCCAGGGTTGTATTCACGGCCAATAAAAGGTCCAAGGTCAAGGACTGGATCTCTTGGAGGGTTTCGAGTACAACAGGTCAATGCATGCCCTTTGGTTTACAACAGGGAATTCAAGGGGATTCATTATGATGCTCTAAGGTATTTTCTGGAGCAGGGTTGTTTTATTTTTGCCATATACAATGCCTCATCTGTGTCTARCCCAATAAAAAAATCCTTGGAGCAAGAAAGATGCGAGTGTGATATACGGCCACATAATAAGTAGACCTTGAACATTGCTGCCTGAGGGCAATCCCAAGAAACCTCTGGTGTATCTCCAGGATTCTGACAGTCAGGACGCCTTTTAAAGAAACGCATTAGCCCCAGCGGGTGGTGTTGTGAGAGCGGATAGGGGATGGTTCTGCACCTTCCCCCCGTAACTCAGGTTCTGATTTTCACAGCGGTGGGACGGGGTGAGCTGTCGGAGGGAGCTCGGAGGTTTCTGCRGCAGGACAGTCACAGGATGGAGGGGTTCGGGCTGCCCTGGGTGCCCTGYGTGGGTGCCGAGCTCAGCCCCATCCTCCCCCCGGGCTCTGTCGCTGCCGGGTGCCCACACGGAGCCGTGAGATGCCGAGAGCTGACGCGGGGGCTGCGTGGGGATGGGGCTGGCTCCTCACCTCCCGCTCCTGCTGTCACTCCCGCTTTCCCTAATTGGCATAGCGAACYGGCAGAAAGCTTTCCCGGAGGAGAAGGGGCTCCTTCTGCCGCGTTAGCAATGGATGTGTCACGGGCACGCAGTGACAACTGCAGCCGCTGCGAGGATGGGCAGGAGTGTGGAGGTGGGAGGATGCTGCGCTCAGCCGAGGGAGMTGATCCAGCTGAAAACTCACTCTGGAAAGAATTGCTGCTTTTCAAACAAACCGGTGGAATCCAGCTGGCTGCGTGACCCACCCAGAGATAACGCTGGTGGCAAGAGAGGGCTGGGAAGAGCAGCCGGGGCTGATCTGAGCTGATGCTGTTACAGAAAATCCCAGGCTGGTTTGGGGTGGAAAGGGCCTTAAAGATCATCCAATTCCAGGACACTTTCCACTGTCCCAGGGTTCTCCAAGCCCCGTCCAACCTGGCCTTGGACAATTCAGGGATCCAGGGGCAGCCACAGCTTCTCTGGGCACCCTGTGCCAGGGCCTCCCCACCCTCCCCACCCTCCAGGGAAGAATTTCTTCCCAATATCCCACCTAACCCTGCCCTCTGGCAGTCTCCCTCTTCTTTCTTCTAGGCTCTGGTGGCCCCCATGCCTGCACCAKAAGTTATTTGATCCGAGTCTAGGCGGAAACTGCTCCTTTTTAATTTTTATTTTAATGCTGGATTAGTTTTCTGCTGATGTTCCCCGAGGCAGTGAGCTGTGGGATGTGGGYTGGTGAGTGAGGGAGAATGTGCTAATGTGTGGTCAAGGACGGCTCAGGGGTGGGAGTGTGGGATTAGGGYGGCCACAGCTTTCATCTGTGGGATGGATGTGTGGGCACAGCCCTGCAGAGGCTCCGAGGAGAGCTGGCTGTGGCCAGCAGGCTCTCAGTGGCCAGGATCTCTACACGGTGTCCAGCTGACCTGGCTCACTTGGGGTGAGCCAACCCAGCTGCTTAAAAAATAAATCAAAGCAGGCAAATATAGCAGGGATGCAGAGGGATGCAAGCTCTTGGCTACAGGCAGGAGGATGTGGAAGTTTGGGGTGTTTGTTTGCTTATTTTTGCCTTTGGTGATACACACTCTCAGGAATGTGGTGGGATTGGTGGGATCCTTGGGGTTATCCTGTGYAGGGCCCTGAGCTGGGCTCGATKATTGCTGTTGGKCCCTTCCAACTCAGGCTGTTCTGTGATATTCTTTTGCAGTTTGGATGCACAGTCTGAGGAAAATGGGGCTGGAAGATGTCCATGGCTGCTCCTGCCCAGCCCTGCTCCCATACTTGGAGCTCAAACACGAGTGTCTCCTGATGAAAGCAGCCAGAAAAAGGGGAGCAAATTCCTCACCGCCTGCCTGAAGCCTTGGCTCCAGTGGTGTATGTTTGGTATTTCATGTATGACAGAGCTTTGTRTGGCCTTGATTCTGTCCTCATCAGAAAGTGACAGTCTGAGCATCATCATTTTCTGTGGTTCTGGAAAAGTGCTGAAAAAAAATCGATTTCAAGCCCCAGATATTCTGATCCTCTACGGCAGTGTCCTATAAATCTAGTTCCAGGTTCTTYTCTATTAGCAGTATGTGCTGGAACACTTTTAAATACGAACAATGGTGATGTAGAGGGATAAAACCAAAATAGTGCYCCTGTGGCTTTGTGCAGTGTAGAATTAGGGAGCATAATCCAAATAATAACATCTCGTGCTTTTATGGGGCTGCGTGCATATGGCGTAAATGACAGCTCATTAAACTTTATATCCTGCCTACAAGATAAGCATGTAATTAGTATTACATCCTCTTTTATAATTGGGAGGCCTCATCCAAAAAAATGTGGCTCGCAWACCATATTTGAAGGCGGTGACTCAGCCTGAATTAGTGTGTGGTGTGAGGATGGAGAGAATCGTGCTTCGGTGGGTAAAAAAAAACCACAGACAAAAGGTTGAGCTGGTGTCAGGTTGCTGTGCCCGTGCCCACCCTGCGGTGAACACAGGTGGATGAACTTTTCAGCGGCAGGCGTGGGCTGGAGCCCGAGCTTTGTGCGGGACCGTCCCCTCCCGCAGCAGCGAGGGGTTCACGGCTGAGCTGACAGCAATGAGCGCTCGRTGCGGAGCGAGGGGAATTCCAGCCATTCGGGGATTATCCGCAAATGTGGCTGTTTGTCACAGCCTGGGGGAGAGAGAGGTCACCGCCGGCTCGTTGGTGCGTGTCTCTGCTTCGGGAGGCTCGTTCTGCGCTTGGTGTTTGTGTTGGGATTGGGTTTGCTCAGCTCCGTGGGGCTGGCGCTGACGGTCTGTCCCCTTTCCCGGTGATCAGCTGCCACCACCCGCCTTATGGCAGCCAGAAGGACGCACGGAGAGGCGCAGTTTTGTTTCGCGTGGCTGCAGTTTGCTGCTGSGAGCTCCCAGCTGAGGGAGGGAGGTGACGAGGCAGCTGCTGAGCCCGGGCCAAATTCCTGGCGTGTTCCTGAAGGAAACGGGTTRTGGGGAGAAGTGACCGGGTCTGTGTGCGGCGACAGCCATCGTCTGGGGGGAGAAGTGACGACATCCATCATCGGTGGAGGGAAGTGGTGACAGCCATCATAGTCCGTGGGACGATGCTCTTTGGGGACACAGTGCTGGGACAGGGCCCTACAGCTCCTCCTCGCTCTCGGCATCTCCACACCAGCCCTTGCAGGAGATTACGGGTTTATTCTCTCAGATCACACCAYTAAGCCCGGGCAATAATCTCCAGCACAGATGTGCGATGGGAGGAGAAACGTGCGAGCCGCCACCCGGGCGGGCACGGAGCGGGCCGGAGCGGCGCTCCCGTAGGCCGGGGCGCAGGTTTCCCCGCGGCAGGGCCGGGCAGAGCCGGGCAGGGCCGGGCAGGGTCCCGGCGAGCGGAACGGGGCGGGAGCGGGGCCGGGCCGGAGCCGCCGCTGCGGAGCCGCCTCTGCCCGGGCGGAGCCGGCCCAGGTGCGGGAGCCGCGGCGAGGGAGGGCCCCGCCCCCGCGTCTGATTGGCTGAGTGGGCGGAGGGGGCGGGGATAGGCCGCGCCTGGGCGCTCCCATTGGCTGGCGGAGCAGGGGCTCGTGGCGCGGCGGCGGCGCGGGCGGGCTCGGCCCGGGCGGCGGCCCCAGAGCGGCGGCAGCTCCGCCCCCGGCGCGGCTCCGCTCCCGCCGCTCCGCCCGGCCCCGCTCCCCCGGCTCGGCTTGGCTCGGCTCGGCCTGGCCCGGCACCGCGCTCCCGCCGCCCGCCCGCACYGACGGCTGCGCGCCTCGCCCTAAAAACCCCTCTGTTTTTCATTTTTTTCCGGATTTTTGCGTGCTTTCCCCCGCCGTGCCGGGCAGCATGGGGCTGCCGGCGCTGGAGTTCAGCGAGTGCTGCCTCGACAGTCCGCAGTTCCGGGAGCGGCTGCGCTCCCACGAGGCCGAGCTGGACAAGACCAACAAGTTCATCAAGGAGCTCATCAAGGACGGGAAGTCGCTCGTCGCCGCCCTTAARAGTAAGTGCGAGGCYGGGGGCGGCCCTGCGGGACCCCGCKACCCCGGACCACCCGTGGWGCTCCGTCCRCCCCGGGACCGGGGGCTGCTCCGCCCGGGACCACCTGCGCCCGCCCGTGTGCCCCCTGCGTGTCGCGGTGTGGCTGGGCCATGGGGACGAGCCTGGTCCTGGTCCTGCAGGACGTGCGTGGTCCATCGGGATGTGCCTGGCGTGGTCCATGGGGCCATGTGTGCTGCTGGTCCTGGCYCATCAGCACATGCACGGGCCTTGCCGTGGTCTGTCTGGACATGTGTGGTCCATCAGGGTGGTTTCATTGGGGTGTGCATGCCTCTGGTCCCGGTCCACCAGCATGTCCGTGGCCGTGGTCCATTGGGACATGTGTGATCTTGTGTCTGGTCCATCAGATCCCTGGCCCTGGCATCCTTTGGGAGTGGTTTTCTGGGGTGATGGGTTGGTGCCGTGTTCCCCCCATTTATCCTCTACCCACTCTGTACTCAGGGTGGGGGATGCCCTGTGCCCCCCACTGTGACCCTGCCTGGGCTGACCCCTCYGCTSCTRTCCCCTCTGTCTCAGTGGGCAAGTGAAGATGGTTGCAAAGCTGCAAACCCGTGTGGAGGGGGATGCAGCAATGCAGGCTGTGGCTCCRGGGCTGGGGACACGCTCACCTGTGGCTGGCAATGTCCTGGTCCTSCCTAAAGCCCAGGCTGGGCTGGCTCCTGTCCCCACAGCTGGGGTTGGGGACACCTCTGCACGGCTACCCACTGCCAGGGTTGGGTGGGCTGTGCCCGCGGGGTGCTGTGCTGGGTGGGCTGCTCCTTGAGCTGCAGATCTGTTTCTGCTCTTCTCTCGTGCGGTTATTTGGATTTTTTTCTGTTTTTTAGTTTCTTTGGCCCTAGTCACAGGTCCTTCCCCATCCAGGGGGATTCCTCTACCCAGCACGCTGGCAGCACGTGYGGTTGCCAGTGTGGTTCATGGGGTGACAGGGGCACATCACGAGCGCTGGTGCCATGGAGCCCCTGCAGCATCACCGGCCATGCCCCAGCCTGGTCTGGGTCACTGGGGGGGCTGTGGGACAGAGAGGTCACCCCAGGCTGTGCAGACAGGTGATGTTCCATCCATTCCCACCACCCTGTCGGTTCCCAGTAGGGCTGATTGCTGCTCCCTCCCCTTCTGGTCTCACACCGAGCCCCACGGGTATAGTTCCCCTGTGCTGAAGTAGCAGCTGTTAACATCTGGCTTACAGGGACTCCCATTGTACCAGTTCTTGGCATTTGGGGTTAAAAGAATCTCAAACCCAACAGCTGCGGGTGCGTTTATGCTTCTGCAGGTCTGAGCTGTGCAGCRTTTGCTGAGGCAGCCAGTGCCTGGCCCTGCCTGGAGTGTTCCTTTTATCCCAGAACAAATTC